TATGAATAGGTGCTCACACTGATGCTTTTGTAAGGTATTGGCTTTGGGTATGCATGTGTATGCATGTGAGTGAATGACAGAGCAGTCAAGTTGCGGCTGGCCCAAATTGGATCAAAGCCCTACTCCTGATGACACAATAGAAATTCTCTTTTTGTTCAAGCAGTAGAGACCTGTGGTTTTGGAGTTGAAGTGCCAAGGTATAATCCTACTTCTGTAGGCGTGTGTGTATCCACCCAGCATGTAGGATTCCAGCAATCTATTCTATGTCCTTATATGACCCTTATGTGAGTATGGGTGTCTGTTTTCTGAAGCACATACATTCATTGCTCTAGATGCTGCATTGAATAGTGCTGCACAGATCTGGCCAAATTTTCAAGAGTCAGTCCAAGTACACACACCTGGACATTCCGGGTGGAAACACCAGAGCATGTGTTAATATGTCCATGCTCTGATCTAATACTCACAAGAGTGCAGATGTTAACATTTGTATCCAAAAACTCACTGCAGCTTTAACTAGCTCACTTCGTGAAGTCACATTTAGAAAGCAGCTTGCTGACAGAGATTTGGCCTTGACCAGGCCTACTTATTGGAAGGCCATTTGCATTTTTCTGATGGAGTGCTCAAAAATGAGGAAATATGAAACTCACTGTATCAGTTCCTCACTCATGGAAGATGGGAATGTGGTGGCATACTAGGTTACCTACTTAACCCACAGTTAGGAGTTGAAGGTGTTGGAATGAATCTCAGGACAGGAGCTAATAAAGGAGGAGAGCCCGTCATAAATAGTCTGGCTTCCACACACTGAGTGATAGTGGCAATATTCATGCCCTCTTCAAAGCTATCGCCTTTGGTGGGAGTGGGTTATAGCGAGAGTGAGATCCAGCACAGCTGGTTGAACATTAGAATTTCCATCCTGCAAGAAATTCCAATACTTCAAAATTTGTTTCCATCCTGGATCTCCAACAGTGAACCACAGTCATGTGTCTCCCATCATGCACCACATTCGTTTAATCATCGGGAATACTAAGTGCTTCATGGGTGATGGAGTCCATGCAGGGACCTAGTCTGCTAAGGGGAACGGAGGCAAGAGGTACCAGAGCAGCTCAGGCAATGCAGATTAACATGAAACAGACCTGAAACGAAACATTTTGATTTGGTTCAATAAACCTGCCCCAAAATGTAACATTTCATTTCAGTTTTTCTAGTAGGTGATCAAGGAAATGTTTTGATTTTGTGCAAACCGCATTTTCTCTTGAAAAACCATTTCTACAGAAAACTCACAACCGGCTCTGGTGTCCAGCCTACCAAAAAGTCCAAGGAATGGGCTAGACTAGTGAAGTCCTTAAACACAAAACAAAAATCAAATAGCTTTTCTTTCTAGTACCTGATCTATATATTTCAACCCAATCCAACTCCCAGCGAAGTCAATAAAATGACTCTTCTCTGGCGGAAAGGCATCAAGCCCTATCTGACAAGAAAAATATGCATAAACTTGGTGTTTCTACAAAATAAATCATCTGACTCCTTCCTTTACCATTATCATCCCTACTGACTCTTCCAATTATTTTATAGCTCTTGTGAGTTACACAGATGATATATTATAACTTCATCCGATTTCTACAGGTATTCTCAGGAAACTGCAATGTCTCGGCATTAAAACAAAGCACTGCATGTTATGCAATAAAACAGAAGTTTATAATGAAGTTAAAAATTGGGAGCTTTATGAGAAAGTTAAAATTGTCAGAAGGGTGCAGAAAGATTTATTGCATTAACAGGGTGCTCTAAAATGAAAAGATTAAATAAAAAAAAGCAAAGTCTTTTATAAACCGAAGCAAATGTAGAGGCAATGTCACCGCTATTCGGCCACAAATTAGACCCATCGTTTTTGCTTTGCAGGGCCTGTCTTGCCCATGATTTTTTTCTGCACAGGAATGGAAGCAACAGAATAAAGAGAACAGGGGACTAGGCCAAAAAAAGAGATGGGGAGCACATTCCTGAAGGAGTATAAAGAGATGTACAGGGTGTCCATGTTAGGTGTGGCAGTAATATCCCTTGAGATCACCAATCCCAGACTGTATAAAGTGTGCATGAGCACGTACACACAAAGGGTAGGTCTACACTGCAATCTGTGCAGCAGAAGTGGGCATACCCACACGACTATAATGGTGCTCGCATGACAAGTGCGGATACAGCAATGTGGGCTTCAGGAGGTTTGAACAAGCATGACAGGGAACCCAGGCAGGACTCGCAATACACCATGGATTGCAGTGTAGACGTACCGAAAGGTACACCAAACAAGGTTCTCTTTAGAGTTAGGTTATTTTTTTCCCCTACAGAAAATCTTCACTCTTCTTCCCTTTTAGTGGAGTTATAGTTAGGGTGACCATATTTCCCAAAGAGTGCATGGGGCAAGCCCGAGGACCTCCCCTGTGCACAGGGCTGGCTTGAGGCCCCCCTCTCCCTGTGTGGGGCTGGCTTCGCCGCATGCCCACCCACTGCCTGCCTCCTGCAGTAGGCTGGGGCTGGCGTCGATGCTCGCTGGAGCCCTGCCCACACCCCGCTCAAACTCTGCATCCCACCCCCCTGCGTGGGCTGGCATTGCCGCCCTTTTTTTTTTTTTGGCAAAAGTAGGTATCTGTCCTGTTTGCTCATCAGCTAATCAAGTTGGCAAGAGCAAATGGGACAAATGCCCACTTTTGCCAAAAAAGTCAGGTCAGGGCTTAAAAAAGGGACTGTCTCAGCCAAAACGGGACATATGGACACCCTACTTTAATTGGGTTCAGCCTATGTGGGTGCCAGTGTGCACGCACACACATTGGAACCCAGTAGCAGGGTGTCAAGAGCAAATGCAAAGAGCACATTTTCAGTAACGTACACAGACCTGAAACCAGACTAGCGGGGGTCAAGGAAATCCGAGCATGCTGCCAATGTCGCTTTGCCGTAGCATTGTCCGTTATCTCACTTGAATGTTTGATTCAGCCACCCTCATATGCCTCATTGATTTGAATGGGATTACTTGCAGAGTAAATTCCTACTCAAGAGGAGTAATGATGGCAGACCCTGTAAGATGCTGAGTACCCTCAATTCCCATCCAAGGGTTCTCACTTAGCACCCTGGGAGGGGTGCAAAGCCAGTTTGCATCTATTTTTTTATGTTGCTATTATTAATAAAGAAAATCAGCAAAAGCGCTGACAGAAATAAATGGTCAGAAAAGAACTCCTTCCTCTAAATTCAAACGACTTGACAAGTATCTACCATGGGAAGGCAATATACCAGATCCTCAGAAGATGTAAATTGAAGTCAATGGAGCTTCACCAATTCACACAGGCTGAAGATATGGCCAATATAGAGACGTAACCCCTTCCCCCCCCCCAATTCCACAAATGCTTTCTGATTCAAAGTGACTAGTGCTTCCCTTTAAACAATTACATTCTCCAGCACACTCCTAACATGGGTCTTGTAGGGAACATTCTCATCTAGGAACATTTATTGTGTGTGTATGTTTCCATTTTCCTTGAGATTTCAAAAGAGTTGGGACACTTAACTTAGAATATTGTGAGTTAATTGTTGGCTAGAAAAGACCCATTCTGAGCAAGGGAACCGTTCTGGGAGGACTTAGTGTATTTGAATTATTTAGACCCCTGCCGTTAATGTGACAGGATTGTTTCTCTCTTGCAATAGCCTGCTGCTACAAGAATTAAAACTGTCGGGGCACGCGAAAGCCTGGGCTAGGCCTTAGTAATGAGCTTGATCAGTCAATAAATGATTTTATACTGCAAATTAAACTGTACATGTGTTTTGGGTGGTAAACACTTAGAGAATAAGGATATTTAGCTAAAGAGGAGGGCTGGATGGGAAATAAATGTAACGCAAATGTCAATCCTTTACATCAGCAGCATGGTAGGATTTTGTAGAAAGTTTATTGCCACTGTCTTCTTTTATTTTGTCTACCTCTGCAAACAACAAGGGAACACTATTTCCACTGTATTTACACATGCATTGGGTGGAGGTGTATTTGGGCTGTTGGATTTTGTGTTGGACAGAATTTGGCTCTAGAGCTCGAACATCTAACAGCCTTATGTTGAAAGCACGAGCAGAGAGACGTGTTCTAGAGTTGTGTTAATAATAATAGATGAAAGCACCAAGTTTCAGTAGGCAGTGTGGTTCAGTGGGTAGGGTGGTAGGCTTGTGGCCTCGGTTCCATTTCTGGCTTTAGTCCCTTCCTCAAAGAACTTCACTGTCTAATGTAAATGATTTGGGGCTCTGGTTGCATCTCTCCATGTGTCCTGCTATCATAGCTGCAATCAGCACAGACACTCAAAGTGGACACCCCTCTTACATACAGAAGACTGCATCTAGCAGGATGACCCTTCCATGCTGCAATTTACTTTTTCCTTTTTGCCCACCCCAGCCCCAGATCTGTTAACCTACCCGTTATGCTCCAAGAGCCATCTTTTTTCTAGGGAAGGGCTGGGATGTTTATCATCTTGGCAGGGGCATTTATTACCAAGATTAAAATTTTCCATGGAAAAATTCATTTTTCCTCAAAAAGTCACTTTTCGTTGAGAAAATGCTCCTATGGGAAAAAAAAAAAAACCAACAACAAAAACTCCAGCAGCTCCGTAAAGAATCCATGGCATTCTGTTCAAAGCTAGGAGTGTTAACCCAAAGTCCTTGTCAAATTCCAACTCCAGGAGCAATATTTATTCTGCCATTTCAGTTGCAAGCATTGTTTTTCTATATGTTCTGACAAAGAAAGTGTGCTCAAACCCCCAATAGAGTCCAGCAGAGCAATGATTTTAATTATGTATTTATGCATTCATTAATTTTAAAGCTTTTAATCATCCAGCTAATAGGCACCCCTCCCATGCTCTGAGCAGCCTTACAACTTCTAATATTTACAATCTCATTAAAAAGTCATCTCAATATTGTGTTGTGTAGATGTACACTATTAAAAAATGTACCTATTTCACACAACCCTATAGTGTTCATTAGATTAATATAAATATTTTAACAGAGCACAATCACCAAAAAGTAACACTGAGTTTCCAGATTTATATCTATAGTTTGAACAAGGAAGTAATTTGCTTTTGGTCAGTTCATTGGTATTTTTCTTCTTTTCACTATAGTTAGAAAATTGGTGGGTAGTGGAGGGAGAGTGGTGTTGCCTAGTGTACATATTGACCGGATATCAAGAGACATGGGTTCTATTCCTGGCTCTTCCACTGGATCGCTGGGTGACCTTGAGCAAGTCACATTGTTTCTCTGTGCCTTGGTTTCCGCATCTATGACCTCTTTCGCAAAGCATTTTGAGACCTACTGATGAGAAGCACTCGCTATGGTTATTATTTCATGAAAATTTCATATCCAAGCCTCCTTTGTTTGGAATTTCAGTAATTTTGAATAGCAGATTAATATTTTTTCAGGTGGTTTTTATGTAGAAAAACATTGAAATCCTATGGCTACTTTAGGTAATGAAATGTGAGTGTTCTCTGTATTAGGACCACCCTAGGGGCCAGCAAACATCAGTTATTTAGTCAAAGACTTTTTCAACTCAAAGTTTAAAAAATTTTACTGAAAATCTTGGGGATACTTTGACATGAGCATTTAAATCACTGAATTGCCTATTGGTGCAGTTTTCACTTTATTTATAGCATTTTAGTACAAACTTTGTATACATCAGTCCTGGAATTAAGATGATCAGTGCAGCACATTCTGCCAGAGGGGTGGCACGTCCAGGTGCTCCTAGAGCACTTAGCACTCTGGTTATTCTCAGCTGATGCATTGCCCTCCAGGGGCCACAGTCGGATGGTGCACTGTAAAGTAGCCCAGGTCAGAGGCTAATGTAGAATCAGCCCTGGGATTTGGAGGCTGCATCTCGCTCTTTTGTGATCACCGCAGGCAGCTGAAAATCAAGCCATAAACTCAATTAATTTCACCCAGTTCATCCAAGTTTGAGCTAAGATCCAGTTCACAGGGACAGAGCATGCACCAAAATCCCCAGCTCTCTTCATGTACCCATGCTCTAACATGGGTCTTACACTGAGCAAGCTTCTCAACTATATGCCGTTCAAGGCTGGCACCGACAATTCAGAACCCATTTGGTATGGTAATGATTGAATGGTGGAGCAGCCAACTATTCCAGGCTTTACAATGAGTGTAAAATTTGAAAAGAGCCCAGTTATATATTGAAAGGAAATTGAGCCACAGTATATCCTTGTAAAGCATAGTCAGAACAGCACAGAACACTCTCCAAATAATATGCTATTAAGTGTAGTAAATCCAAACAGTACCCTAGACACTTGGTTCAGAATGCATATTATGGATATACTATTAATGCTTGTTTTTAGCATGAAATCTATCCAACCACAAACATTCAATGCTATTGATATTAACTATTTCTTGAAAGAACTGATACACTACTGCAGTTTATTTGCATGGCAGGGAATGAAACTTCATGTGTCACCTTCTTCACGCCTTTCTTTGATTAGATTGCCTCAGTTTAATTACCAAATTCTGTTAAAAGACTTCAGCACAGATGTAATTTCACGCAGGTGTTACCTGGTATAATGAGGCCAGATGTTTCCCATGAAATAGGCCTGGCTCATTTGAAATGCGTGTGCTGCAATAGATTGATTTGTACATCCATTAGTTCAAACTGAAAAAATATGGTGAGGAATTACGAACAAGGTGATATTTCGAATAGAGGAACCAGTAATAATGCCTATTTTCTCTCTTCTCTTTGTCCTTGGTTTCTTTCTCTGTATTTAAGCTTTACTTTTAACAACAGTTAAAGATCTCTCACTGCAGTGTGTATTTCAATTAGTTCAGCTGGTTGGCCAAAAGTACAAAGATCATGAGTATCTGATGCAAACATGCACAGATCATGCATGGAACAGGCAAGGGTGTACTTGCCTGGGCATTAAACTGACAGCTGCCTGTCTTGCATCATCCATGTATCATCATCATCATCATCATCATCCATGTATCATCTTGCACTGTTATGACAATGGAGTTGGCCAGTTTCATAGTATTTTAGGATGGGGAGGAGAACGTCAGGTTTCCACCCACAGAAACTCTTCTCTGTTTGCAAAACATTGAGCAAAGAATAAAAAGTGCCTTTACTTGATCATAAATCCACCAACCCGTGAATTTTCACTGCTAGTAAATATTTCATAACACAGCTCTCAAGAAAGTTGATATCACGGCACAAAAAAATGGGAGTGTTCAAACTGCAGGGAGAAGTGACTATCTGCACGGATTGCTGTGAGAAGCACATGATCAGATAAGCCACACAGTGGCTCACGGCATTTAGTGCTGCAAGACTAATTTTGTTACTCTAATAAAACTCATAGAAGTAAATAAACATTAAGCGACTTCTACTGTTATGCAATACAAGAGAAGCCAAATATTCCTGAGAGGATTAATGGAGATGAACTATTTACAGCCTGTCCCTCAAAAATTGTTTTAGCAACTTTGCCTTTTCATCCTCGCATCCCACATATTATAAGCATTGCTGTTGCCCCCAATCCAGAAGTAAAGCAGGAGTAACTCAACTAAAGTTATACTGGTGTGAAATCAGCATAGGAGAGAGGAGAATCAAAACTTTCAGTTGCTCTCACACAGAGTGCTTCATGGGACGAGGGGACCAATAAATTCCTACCTTCTGGTGATTCAGATGGGAATAACCAACTGTGGGCACAGTAAAAAAAAAGCAAAGAAACAAATCCAAAGGGTAGAACTGGAGAGGATTTTCTCAGTGAGGTATTTCCAGTTTTGAGCTCACACACACTCACATTTCATTCCAAAAGGAGCAAACCCAATCCCAGCTGTCAGAGTAAGTGAATCCAATTGGCAGTTCAAATACCAGAGTGAGTCAGAACCTTTTCACATTTCTCCCCATTGTTCTGTCTAGTGCAATGCTGCATAGATGACATAAAACAAACCCTAGGACTCAAACTCATGGGACTGCAAAGCTCTGAACACCGAATAGTTGAGCGTTACCAGAAAGTTCACAAACAGCAGCTAATAAGCATTGGCACACAAAGGGGCTTGCCAAGCAGATATTACAGAAGCTCAAAACAACCAAGACTTTTATTCTGTGCAATATGGCTTACTGCTTTTTAAAATTAAATAAAAATCCCACAGGAGATCAAAATAATTGTAAACCACTCTGGCCTTCCCATCTTTCAAATACTTATGCTTGTGCTTAACTTTAATCCCCATGGGGAAACTCAGATGCTTACAGCTAAGTACTTGGATAAGCACTTGCAGGGTGGCTGAGGGGCTAAAACTGTAGAAATAAAAATGTTTTAATTAAAAATATAAACTTATCAGCCAAACATATTTCTTTAAAATTAGTTGTTTGAATGGTTTGTTTTGTTTGGGGGGAGCTTAAAGGTACATGTCAAACAAAGTATTTGTAAAATAACTAACACCAACCGCTCTACTGTCTGCCCTCATTATTTCAATTCAGGGACTGGCAGAACAAGACTTAATATTACAATAAAGCAAAACTGGTGTCAGCAAAAAAAAAAAGTTTCGATGACACACTGATATGGAACACTGTGATACATGGATAAAAACTATGTGAAAACCAGAAACACATAAGACTGCAATTTAATCTTTTTATTTGAAATATAAATATTATTACTATCAAGCTTGACAGTATAGAAAATGTGTGCCCTGCAGCCTTCTGACAAAACAAAATTTATATTTAAAACTTCCTGAAATAATGCCTTTCATATGTGGGGTTTTGTCACATTGCAGTGGCTCTGAGCCTACCTTATGGTCCTGCACCTTTAATTATTTTATGCCTAGAAGACACATTTTAAATAGAAGAGGCGGGTTACAAGAGTTTTGACAGCTGGGGATGATTAAAATACTGACAACATGCACTATATAAAATTCCCTGAGGTTTTAGCAGGGTACTCATAGGGAAGTTAGAGATTAGAATTAAAAAAAAAGTATTTTTACCCACCAGCACGAAATGTTCAGGACATTTTCCCCCTCCTCTTCCATGTAAACTTTTTTTTAAAATATCTCAAGGCCACATACTTGAAAATTGGTCAACAAATTTGATTTACTAATCTGTTCCCATTTAACAAATATGCAGCCAGGTTTCATGGCCAGCTGTTCTATATCATTTTGTGAATGGAGGGAGGGGAGACCTGGATTTCAAACACAGTTAATGTTTTTTTTTTTTCCTTACAAGGGTGTTACTGATTGGTGCTGATTTTCTTGCTGCTTGGACGGATGTGCTTGTGTTTCCCTTTGTGCAAAATATTGTTGTTGCTACTACAGTGGAGAAAATGTGGCCCTTGGGCCATGATCCATCAAGGTTTATAATCATATTCCTAACTTTAAGTATCTCAATAGCCCACGCTGACTTCACATGCTTAAAATTAGGCACATGTTTAAGTAATTTGCTGAACTGATGCGCTACTAAATCAGATGTATTAAGCTCGTCCTGAACATTCAGCCAATAATATAAAGGGAAGTGATGGGTTATGATGGTCATGGCTGAAGCTCAGCAGTTGTATTCATAGGAGTTCACGTGAAGCTTTTGATCCAAACAATTTCTATTTTCATCAGTCTGTCAACATTGTGTAATCAGCAGTGCCTGCTCACCTGTATAGCTTTTGATCCAAAAAAAATCGTAAAAGCAAATCCCCAGAACAACCAAAGCCATAAAGAACTGCAGAGGCCATCCACTGGCTCAGGCGAACGTGAAACTCACTACAAGTTATTGTTCAATATCTTCATCATTCATTGATTTCAATTGCCGAGGACTGTGCTAGGCACTTCACAGCAGCACGTGAAGCCACAAGATGAAATCCTGATGCCACTCAAGTCAATGGCAAAACTCCCATTGATTTCACTGAGGCCAGGATCTCACCACCAGTTCTTGCCCCCAAAATGTGACAATCTACCATTCTACTTGATACAACAAGCGATGCTCATGGGAGAGTGAGAATAATGTGATCAAACAGTTATTCAGTAAGGCAGGTAGACAGATGGAAGGTGAATTTTCTTAAGCTTCCTGGCAGAAGTGAGGCTCTAGTAAGGATAAGAATGAGGCAAGTGAAGGACACACTCACATACAGAGTGCAGCATGGAAGACAACCCAGTGATAATTGCAGGTAAAAGCAACAAATGCAGTCTCAAGGCTTGTATCATTGGTGGAGCAGAGGGAAGGACAGAAATGGAAGTAGACCTGGTCAGAGAGGGGGGACACGAGTTGTGCAGTACAGATCATTGTAGATTTAACCAAAACTTCACAAGTTTTGCTAGATACAGTCAGTCTACTGAAGTCAATGGATTTACACCCTTTTACACCAACAGAGGATCTGGGCAAAAATGTAAAATCCCTTTGCTAGGCTGCTTCTCTGTGATGAAGAACGCAACATTTACATGAATGAAATATTCCCCTTTGAAAAGATACATTTAATAGGATACAGACACAGTCATTCAACTAGGATTCAATACCACCTTCAGTACTTACCTCCATTTCTGTATACTAAGGCCGACAGTGAGATATTATTGATGCCACTGCAAGATACATGTTTTCCCATTAGGTTGAGTGAATCCTAAATGTCCTAAAAATCCTTTTTTCCCTTAAGGAGTAGTGGAGAATAAGTCTTTGCTTGTAGTACACTATGAGAGCTGTTTGGTCTTCTCCCAAAGATCATGTCAAATATTAAGGGTATGTCCACACTGCAGTGTACATTCAGGGTTAGTAGAACTCAAGTTAGCTTGAGCATCTACACTCATTAGGTTAGGAATTGTTGAACCCTGGGTCCCAACCTAGGGCTCCAGGTCTACACTACATTATGTAGGCCTGAGTCCAGACACCCATAACCCAGTCTTCTTAGTGCTCTCCCAAAATGTGGCCACTCTAGCCCT